GGGGAGAGTGTTGTCCACGTACCCTCATAGACCGAAAGCGGAAGCGTTAGAACAACGCGGTTGATGTAGTCGTACATCTTCACGGCCCGACCGATCAAGCACCGAAACTACGGCACCTTCGAGCTCTAGCACACGTTCAGCTCGATGACGATCCCCGGACTCCGATCCAGCAGGGTGTCGGGGAAGAGTTCCGTCAGCACGACGGCGTGGTGTCGATCTTGATGTTCTACCGTCGCAGGGCTTCGCCTAAGCACCGCTACAATATTATCGAGGACTTTGGTGGAGGGGGGCACCGTACATGGCTAAGAGATCTTGGAGATCAATTGTTGTGTCTATGGGGTGCCCCCTGCCCCCATATATAAAGGAGCTAGGAGGGAGGCGGCCGGCCAAGGAGGAGGGTGCGCCAAGGGGGGAGTCCTACTCCCACCGGGAGTAGGACTCCTCCTTTCCTAGTAGGAGTAGAAGAGAAGGAAGGGGAAGGGAGAAGGGAAGGAAGGAGGGGGCGCAGCCCCTCCCCCTAGTCCAATTCGGACTAGGCCTTGGGGGGGCGGCCTGCCCTAGGCAGCCCCTCTCTCTTTCCCGTATGGCCCAATAAGGCCCAAGACTTCTCCCCGACGAATTCCCGTAACTTTCCGGTACTCCGAAAAATACCCGAACCACTCGGAACCTTTCCGATGTCCGAATATAGTCGTCCAATATATCGATTTTTACATCTCGACCATTTCGAGACTCCTCGTCATGTCCCCGATCTCATCCGGGACTCCGAACTCCTTCGGTACATCAAAACTCATAAAACTCATAATAAAACTATCATCGAAACCTTAAGCGTGCGGACCCTACGGGGTCGAGAACTATGTAGACATGACCGAGACACATTTCCGGTCAATAACCAATAGCAGAACCTGGACGCTCATATTGGCTCCTACATATTCTACGAAGATCTTTATCGGTCAAACCGCATAACAACATACGTTGTTCCCTTTGTCATCGGTATGTTACCTGCCCGAGATTCGATCGTTGGTATCTCAATACCTAGTTCAATCTCGTTACCAGCAAGTCTCTTTACTCGTTACGTAATGCATCATCCCGCAACTAACTCATTAGGCACATTGCTTGCAAGGCTTATAGTGATGTGCATTACCGAGAGGGCCCAGAGATACCTCTCCGACAATCGGAGTGACAAATCCTAATCTCGAAATACGCCAACTCAACATGTACCTTCGGAGACACCTGTAGAGCTCCTTTATAATCACCCAGTTACGTTGTGACGTTTGGTAGCACACAAAGTGTTCCTCCGGTAAACGGGGGTTGCATAATCTCATAGTCATAGGAACATGTATAAGTCATGAAGAAAGCAATAGCAACATACTAAACAATCAAGTGCTAAGCTAACGGAATGGGTCAAGTCAATCACATCATTCTTCTAATGATGTGATCCTGTTAATCAAATGACAACTCATGTCTATGACTAGGAAACACAACCATCTTTGATCAACAAGCTAGTCAAGTAGAGGCATACTAGTGACACTATGTTTGTCTATGTATTCACATGTATTATGTTTCCGGTTTATACAATTCTAGCATGAATAATAAACATTTATCATGAAATAAGAAAATAAATAATAACTTTATTATTGCTTCTAGGGCATATTTCCTTCAGCCACATCTCTAGTCACACATCCGGGCGGATCATGTTCGCCGGGGGAAGGGGAGGATGTTTTGTGTAGATGCAGTCGCCATCGGCGAGGGCGAAAACCCACTATCGACGTGTCCCGATCAGGGGTCCCCACCATTCTCTCACAAAGCCGGCGCGGTTTGCCTTTGTCCCTTGCTCACTGCCGTGACGTGGGCAGATGCTGCCTCCCACCGCCCTCCTAGCTACATCCCAACATCCCTCAGGTACAACTTCCTTTACAGACGACTTGCACCACTGCCCCAGCTGCCCACATTGCTCCATGTGGATATTTCTCTACTTCTTTACCCCGCACGTACCTTTACTAGCTTCAACTATTATTGTGATGAGTTTATGTCTCATCAACTAGTGCCTTTAGTCTTATTCTAGTCATACTTCTTCAATTTATTTGCCACAGGGATGCTCAGTTCGATTTTAGTGAAACTACACAAAATGATCCGATAGTCAAAGGGTTGCAAACTTCATTCCTTTGGAAGGTTCAACCTCATCAGCAAATTAAAGCCTATTAGGATTTAGGGTTCAAGGCCTAGGGACTACATGGATCATTTTTCTTTAGTTGTCTCTGTTCCAAAATAAGTGTCTCAACTTTAGTACAATTTTGTAACAAAGTTAGAAAAGTTGGCATAAAGTTGGGACACTTATTTTGGAATGGAGGAAGTACATATTGACTATGATCTGTGAATCATTGAGATGCAATAGCATGCATGTTAGTCTCCTGCTGAGAAATTACACTACTGTGTACTAAAGAGTTATGTGTCGCACGATGTCCAAAAAATATGATGATAGTGTGAGGTGGGCCATCTAATCACTGAGTTGTCGTGTTTTCGCTGCTTTCGCACTCCTCCGCTGTAAGAGTGGAGAAAATTATAGTTTTATCGCAGAATAGAAGAATGAAAAAGAGTGGAGACGTTCTACCTCCTTTCTCCGGAACGTGGAGCATCCGGTGCACGTGTCATGCACCAAAGTAAAGTGTACAGTGCAACTGAGACTCGGTACGGTCGTACCACCTCAGTAATAATGACCAATGAGCCCTCAAATCACATAGACACGACAGTAAGTTGGACGGACGAAGCAACCATCATTCTTCGTTTGATATGAGGGCTATAGTATGAGTACAAGTATCTACCACGAGATTGTTGTGTAGGATTCTAACGATCTAAGTTGTAATGATATATTGAGTAGCTTGGCCTCAGTTTATATAATGCACCGGAGGCCTAGGATAACAGGAGCCCTCTACGTCAAGTCTTGTGAAACTTTCCATGTATATGTCATGGGCTTCACGAAGAAGCCCAGTAGTCAACCACCATGGGGGTCATTGACCCGACCCACCTGATGAGAAGACGATGTGGTGAGCATCCCTCGTCTAGGACACTATCACCCGGTTTACACGCTTTGCCGGAGGTGGTACTGGATGATATACCGCCACGAAAGCGTCATCTTTCCTTTGTTTGCGGTGGTGGGCTATGCGTATCACTGGGTTACCTTGTAGGCGGCCACCACCGATGAGTCCCCCGACTCTGGCATGACGAGAACTGGCTCGACCAGCTTCATTATAGTGATGGACTATGAGACAGGCGGGAACTTGGGGTAGGGCGATGGCGATCGAGCCGAAGAGGATGGGAAATGGCAGACTTTAGTGTGGATAAGGGCATGTACAATGGTGCTATCTTAGGAGTGCCACGTAGGATAGATAATGAGGTGGAGGAGAGAGAACTCATAAGAAAAGGCTTGTCTTATCTTATTTAAGAGAAGACAAGAGGTGATCTCTTAGCACAATATGTCTCACCATATTTTTAGAAATTGCTAGTTATTGAAGATAAGGCTAAGAGATGACCCATTGTAAACAATTTTTTTGTCATCTCTAAATCACATGCAAGACTTAAGATAAGACTATCTTATCAACTATTGTACATGCCCTAAGTGGCTAAGATGTCCAAATATGTGGGTTCCCTCGGTTTTGGCTTGGTCCGCGGTGGATGTCCGGACCGGTGGACAGATGTTTGATGCACGAAGTTGGATTTACAAGAAGTGTGTACGAGTGTTTTGATGCGCGAGCCACTTGCAAGACACGGCCATCTAGGCCATCTCTACCGCACGACCCTAAATCTATACATATTTTGTCCGGATTCTGCCCGTATACGGTAGAAATAGAGAGAACAAACGCCGGACAGAGGCCGGACAAACTCGTTGCACCGAACGCTGCTACCCCATTTTCACCCCATTTCACCAGCTGTCCGTCCTCGTCATTTCTTCGAACATGTAGTAGGCATAGCAAACTTGACGCCGTGGCGGCCGCTCCTACTCATGCATGCCCTCGCGTCCGCGGCAAGTCCTCGGCGCGCCCTCGACTCCTCCTCCGACAGCCTGCGCTGGAGCCGCTCACGGCTACCGCCCCGCTGTTGACCTCGTCCTTGCCGGGTCCGTGTCGTGTCCGGCTTCGTGTGCGCCTGGCCGCCGGGTCGCCGCGCCCGACTCACCGCCTCCGCGACCCGCGCCGGCCGGGTCACCGCTGCCGCCTCCCGAGCGCAAGGCTCGCCGTCCTCTGCGTCGGGTTCTCCATACGCCGGCCCTGCCGTGCCCGCCTCGCCTCTGCCGGGTCCGCGCGCGCCGACTGCGCCGCTTGGCCTCCAGCAGTCGCCCGCCGGCTCCCACGCCTCCGCTGGCGCCCCATCTGGCCCGGCCTCGCAGCTCCCGCCCACGGCTCTCCATCACCGCGCCGTCCAGATACGCCCTCACCGTCTCTTGCTGCGACGCGCCGTCCCCGCGTCCGACTCGCTCCTGGTCTGGCGGAAGTGGGGCTGCATGCTCGGCGCCGCTGCGCGCAGGGAGTGGGAGGCGGAGCTGGCCGCCAGAGCGCCCGCCGCTCCGTGCTCTCGTGCCGGCAGCGCCATGCGTCGTGGTGGTGGGTGCGCGTGGTGGGCCAGGTACAGAAAAGGAGAGAGTGACAGGTGGGGGCGAGGGCGGACATAGACGGACGACGAGGACACGAAGACGTCCGCTTTCTGTCCGCTTTGGCCCCAAACCGAAAGCAACTTTAACTTGGAAATGAGGCAAAAGCGGATACAGACCAAACGAACCGTCCGTATGTTTCCATGCGTTGGGTTGTTCGGTTTGTTTATTTTACTCCAAACGGATACAAACGGACGATTTGGGGGTCTAGAGTTGCCTTATTTCAGATCCGGGTCTTCAGCTATTCGGCAGCTCCCCATTAATCGACGCTCCACAGCAATAACGCGGCAGAAGAAAGATCCAGCAGAAGGCAACAACAGCCAAAGATTGAAGGAGAGGGGATCCGGCTTCCGGCGAAATGGCTGCGCCGACGCCACCTCCGCCGTCGCTGGAGCCGGAGATCGGCCCCGACGGCCTCGCCCGAGACTCCCCCGTCCTGGCCTACACTGAGAAGGTCCGCGGCTTTAAAATCTTCCTTCTCTTCCCTAACGCGTTCTTGTTTTCGTTAGTACGTACTACATTTAATGCCCCGTTTCCACCTGGTTTCGTGACTTTGGGTTGTGCGTTTGAACTTTGATGAAGGTCATTGCGGAGGAGCAGCTGCAACTGAAGAAGTGAGCCACCTCCCTCTTCACCTCTTGCAATATCTTGTTTGTTCTGTATTATTCTTTTGTCTGCATTCGTTTTTTACGTGAATCTACAAATTTTCCAGTATGTAATTTTCGAACATAGAGGTAGGATTTCATATATGTATCGTATGTGTGAGCATGCGGCTGTAGGAACTGAATTGGATTCTGCAAGACAACTATGCACCTTCGCCAATCATGTTGCCCATGTGTGATTTGTCATGCTAGTGAGAGACAGACCGTATCAAATCATTCATTATGAACTGCAGGAAGGTGATACTGGATTGTGCGGGTGTTCATGTTTATGAACAACACTTCACTGTCCGCTGAAGCATGGCAAATAAATTTACTGCTCCTGAGTACGTCCCTTGTGTTTTCGATGTAGGTATAGGTTCAAGTAACCTGGCTAGTACTCCCTCCTTTTTTAAATATAAGCCCTTTTAGAGATTCCAACACGGACTACATATGGAGCAAAATGAATGAATCTACACTCTAAAATATGTCTATATACACTCCAAAAAGCCTTATATTTAGAAACGGAGTGAGTACAAACTACTTTGCCGTTTTCCATATAAGAATGATCTCACTTCATTGACAAACAGTGAGGGTCCTTCATGCTCTTTAACTACTTTATTGTGAAGTCCAGCAATATTTCTACTTTTATCAAGAGTAATGCAAGTTTGAACTGATATTTCTGGTGATGTTTTATCTTTACATTAATCCGGATGAGTGCTGAAATAAATTGTCCAATCTTCTCCATCTGTTCGGTCTTTTTAGATGAACTGGTTGGTGCATGCTATTCAAATGGTACTTTCAAAACCTGGACAGTATGCTTGTCAGGCAGCGGCTGCGCTCTCTCGCTCTCTGAACTCTCTCGCTCTCTGAACTCAAGGAGACGAGTGATTTGCGCAGCGCACAACTAATACTGCTTTTCTGTTTTCTCTTCCTCTTATTCTGCTCTTCCTAACAGACCCGGCCGATGCGCACGCCACTGCCCCGTCCAAGCTGAACGTGCCATCCCAAGTTCGCGGAGTGGGCGTGCTCACCGCGGCCATCATCTACACCTAGTCACGCTCGGTGCGCACAGATCGCGCGCTCGGCGTCTTATGCATGCAAGAAGCAAAAACCGGTCCGGGGAAGCCGGTCCAGCTGCGAGATGGGTCAGGGTTTAACTAACAAATGCCTCCCTAAACCCTGAACCCCTACTAAATTAAAACGACACAAATTTCTTCTCGAAACTCCTGGAACTTGGCGCGGCCAAGCGCCTTCGTCAAAATGTCAGCGAGCTGCCCGTTGGTGCCGATGAACTCGACCTCGACGCGCCCATCTTGAACGCACTCGCGCGAGAAGTGAAATCTTGTGTCGATGTGTTTGCTGCGGTCGTGAAAGACGGGGTTCTTGCTGAGGGAGATCGCTGCTTTGTTGTCAATCTTCAGCTTGACTTGCTCGACTTCTGCGTTCTTCATGTCGCCAAGCAGCCGAGCGAGCCATACGCCCTGGCATGCCGCCGTTGCGGCAGTGATGTATTCTGCTTCGCTGGTGGACAAGGCCACCACTCTCTGCTTGTGTGATTGCCAACTGATCAGGCTCCGGCCAAGGAAGAAAAGGACGCCGGTCGTGCTCTTGCGAGTGTCGACGTCGCCCGCCATGTCGCTATCGCTGAAGCCAACCAGTGTTGCCCCGGTGGCCCCCCGGCATAGAAACAGCCGTAGTGCTGCGTCCCGGCAAGATACCTGATGATTTGCTTGATGGCGGCGAGATGCTCTGTCGCCGAGGCCTCCATGAAGCGGCTCACATAGCCAACGGAGTAGGCTATGTCGGGGCGCGTGTGCACCAAGTAGCGCAGTGCATCAACGACGCTTCAATACGCCGTCCCGTCTGTAGCCAACGCGGAGCTCACCCTACTAAGCTTGAAACACGGCTCCATGGGGGTGTGGGTTGGATTGCACCCCACCAAGCCGGCCTTCTCGATGATCTTGCCGGCGTACGCCGCCTGGTTGAGGGAGATGCCGTTTGCCGTCTGCTTCACCTCGATGCCAGAAGCTCAGCAAGCCCAAATCGCTCATGCAAAACTGCTTCTGCATCTCCTCCTTGAACTTGCTGATCTTGGCGTCGTCGTTCCCTGTGATGATCAGGTCGTCCACATACACGCCGACGAGCAGACGTGCAGCTCCGTTGCCGCGTTCGTAGACAGCATGCTCTGATGGGCTCCTGGTGAAGCCAAGCCCAAGAAGGCAGCGGTCGAGCTTGGCGTTCCATGCCCGCGGAGCTTGCCGCAACCCGTACAACGCTTTGTCCAGACGGAGCACCTTGTGCTCTTCCCCGTCGACGGCGTAGCCTGGTGGATGCGTCACGTACACCTCCTCCTTGAGATCGCCATTGAGGAAGGCACTCTTCACGTCCATGTGGTGGACGCGCCAGCCCTCGTGTGCGGCAAGAGCGACCAGCAGGCACACGGACTCGAGGCGCACCACGGGAGCGAACACCTCCTCAAAGTCGACGCCCTACTTCTAGACGAACCCTGATGTAGGGCGGAACCCTAGGGTGACGATCTTTCACGTTTGGAGTGGATCCTACGGGGAATCACGAAGAACACGCGGAAGCACAAAGGGGAAACACGGGGAAAATGAGAGAGAATCACTAAACCGACAAGGAATCGATCACACAAGTGCTAGATCACCGAGAACAAAGAGTAACACATGATCCACAATCAACAAAGGTAAGGATACAAAGGAACCGTTCTTCTCCGTGAGGAGGTCTTGATGGTCTTCCCTAGAAAGGGGTCTTGAATCCGCTTGGGGGATCTTCTCCGAAGAGGTCGTGAACTCCGAGGAGAAGTAACCAAGTGGATGAGCAAGGCTCTCACACAAATATGAGCTAAACCAATGCTAACCCTAGCTAGGAGGTGGGAGAGGCCTATTTATAGTCTTAGTGCAAAAGGGGGCGAAGTGAAGGGGTACATGGGCTTCGGCCCGAAACTGTGCGCAGACAGGTAGAGGACGTCCGCTGGGGACCGGTCGTCCGGTGGCTCATGGGGGTCCGGACGTCCGGTGTCGTCGGACGTCCGCTAGATGCGTTCTGTGAAGGAGGCGCCGGTCGTCCGGTATCTTCATACTTCCGTTAATATCCATTCTGTTGGGGGGGGGGGGTGCCGGACGTCCGGTGACTTCGGTCGTCCGCTCGCTGGAGAGTGTGGCCGGTCGTTCGGTCCGGGCCGGACGTCCGCTCGCTGGGGCCTGCGTTGGCTGGGACTTGGCAGCTGGGCTTCAGGCGTCGGACGTCCGGTCCCGACCGGTCGTCCGGTGGCTGGAGTTTTCTCCGGTAGATCTTCTTCTTGACCTTCGCGGTTGGTAGCCTTGCCTTCTTGTCCGATGGATGTAGATGTACCATGGCTTTCCTCCAGGTACCTGATCACACACAGAGTGTCCATATGAGGTAGTAGCCAAGTCTCGTGAGTAGAGAGAGGAAGTTCGGAGAGGAGCGAGTTCACCTTATCTTCGATAGCCTTTGCTCTAGCTCTTGTCATGGGTCCAAGTGGTGTTGAGGGAGATGTAGACGCATCCATGGGGATGAGCGAGGGATGCTCTGCATCATCTCCCCCCCCCCCTTGGGAAAGATCCGACCTCGGATCAAAATCTTCATCACCATGGAAAGGCGAGAGGTCTTGGACGTTGAAGATGTCGCTCACGTTGTACTTGTCTCGTGGGAGGTCAATCTTGTAGGCGTTGTCGTTGTAGCGTGCTAGCACCTTGAAGGGTCCATCGGCTCGAGGAAGAAGTTTGGACTTGCGTTTGTTGGGGAAGCGGTCCTTGCGAAGGTGTAGCCACACGAGATCACCTATGTTGAAGATCATGGGTTGCTTGTTGACGTTGAGCTTGGTCGCTAGTCGATGTACTTGGCGCTCGATGATGTTCCTTGTATCTTCATGCATCTTCTTGATGTAGCTTGCTCGTGCACTCGCATCCATGTTGGTGCGCTCTTGTAGAGGAAGAGGTAGAATGTCCAATGGGGATAACGGGTTGAAGTCGTAGACGACCTCGAAGGGGGACGTGTCGGTAGTCGAATGTCTTGCACGGTTGTAGGCGTACTCGGCGATGGGTAGACACGCCTCCCACTCCTTGATGTTCTTCTTGATCAACACGCGAAGTAGAGTGGATAGTGTCCGGCTCGTCACCTCCGTTTGGCCGTCGGTTTGAGGATGGTATGCGGATGAGAACAAGAGTTTGATTCCGAGCTTGGTGCATAGGGTCTTCCAAAAGTAACTCAAGAACTTGACGTCGCGGTCGGAGACGATTGTCTTTGGTACTCCATGGAGACGCAAGATTTCCCTACAAAAGAGATTTGCAACATGTGAAGCATCGTCTATCTTGTTGCAAGGGATGAAATGTGCCATCTTAGAAAATCGGTCCACAACAACAAACACGGAATCCTTTCCATTTTGAGTTCTAGGCAAACCAAGTACAAAGTCCATGCTAATGTCTTCCCAAGGTTGATAAGGAATAGGAAGAGGCATGTAAAGACCATGAGATTGAGCTTTAGACTTAGCTTTGCGACATGTAGAGCATCGGGTGGTGAAGCGTGAGACGTCTCGAAACATCTTGGGCCAAAAGTAGTTCTTGGAGAGCGTGACGAATGTCTTATCTCGTCCAAAGTGTCCCATGAGTCCGCCTCCATGAGCCTCTTGCAAAAGTAGCAAACGAAGGGACGACTTGGGAATGCAAAGTTTGTTAGCTTTCATAAGATAAGCATCCTTGATATAATATTGTTCCCAAGAAGTATGCGTCAAACACTTAGCATAAGGAATAGCAAAAGATGGATCATTAGCATACAAGTCTTTGATGTGCTCAAAACCAATAACATTCAACTCAAGTTTAGTGACAAGCGTGCATATGCGTGAAAGCGCATCCGCAACTACATTTTCCTTACCCTTAATGTACTTGATCACATAGGGGAAAGATTCAATAAATTCACTTCATTTGGCATGACGC